TTTTTTTTAATTTTAGATTCTGCAGCTATTTGTATTCTTTTTGATGGTCTATAATTGATAGTTAAGAGTCCATTTGGGAAGTGCGCTCTAAGACGAGCTTGTGCGTCTTTGAATGCATATTTCATGTTTCTCTAAGACTTTTTTCAAAACATGGTCAGCTTAACATAGTTTACTTCTTGTGTAATAAATTGTTAAATTATTAAATAGTTTTCATAGTACATGCTTGTAATTAATAATTTATTTATTTTTTCGCAGATGGCCATCTGTACTACCTAAGGCATAGAGGTCAGCCTAATTGTCATAAGGCCAAGGTGCTCCGTGGAAAAGAGGAGGCCAATGTAGACTTTTATGCCAGCAGCACTGGTGCACACTGTGGCCAGAAAAAGACAACAGAGGCCTGGCATGTCAGACGACATTAAACAGTGGGTCAGTATGAGTGTATGTTATCCTGCCATATCTATCTATCTATCTAAAAATAAATTATGGGACTCTAAGTCACACAGATGTGGAAAATGATCATACTTGTTTTTTGTCAGTTGAACCAGTGTACTGCATGCCAGGCCAGCAGAGTCGTCATTAAGCAGGAGGTGGAGTACAAACCAATAAAAGTAAAAAACAACAACAACATAATTTCAGTCATATTATATTTTACTTTTAGATAAAATGTGTTTGACATTGTACTTATTGAGGACATATGACATGATATTTTATGTGTTACAGGTTTCAAAACCATTTGAGCTTATTGGGATGGATCTGATAGGCAAGTTAAAAACAACAAAGACAGGGAATCAGTATATTTGCATCATGGTTGATTACCTGACAAAGTGGCCCCAGGCATATGCCATAAAAAACAAGACTGCTGAGGAAGTCAGTCAGTGCATCCTCAAGTTTTTTTTTTCAGTTTGAAGCTCTCAAGAGGATCTTGACTGACCAAGACATTTCTTATATGAAATCATATAAGAAAAAGTGATTTTGCAAGTGAAAATGGCTTTTTAGTGTTGTAAAGAGTTCCAAGCTATTTTGTGAGCTCAGATCTTTAAATTATGGAGGTTCTGAATGAAATCAAGTCATATTTGGGCAGATATCCCCTTTGAATGACAGTATTTGGGCTTTAATCAGTTTCTAGCAAGTCGGCTGAGGTCAAAACGCCCTGCTAGAAATTGATTAAAGGGCAAATGTGGTTGAAGAAAGCCGATTTTTACCTAAAAAGGACTTGTTCTATTTAAAATAAGATGCTTCTGAATGAAATCAAGTCATATTTGGGCAGATATCCCCTTTGAATGACAGTATTTGGACTTTAATACATTTTTTGCAAGTCAAAATGGCTATTTTGTGTTGTAATGGTCCTTTAAAAGAGTTCCAGCTGTTTTGTGAGCTCAGGTCTTTAAATCATGCATCTCCTGAAGGAAATCTAGTCATATTTAAGTAGAAATAACCTTTGAGTGACTATACTGTGCCTTCAATCAATTTTTGACAGGTGAAAACCGATTGAAAACTGCAAAACACATAGAAACATGGGAAACTCGTGCTATATACGGCCAGATCAGATAAAAAACAATGCAGAGTCACGAGGATCGTTGCAAAAGTTATCATATCTTTATTGAAAACCCTCCAGTAAATCATATTTATTGTAGTGTAGTCTCCAATGTCAGTGTCATGATGGGTTCACTGAAAGCGACCCAAGAATGCAGAACACCACTGACGGACACAAGGATGAAAGGTTAACAGTTTTATTTTGCACAAACACACTGAATATTCTGGTTCAGGTTCGGGGCCTGGATTCTGGTTCACCGGAGTCTCCATGAGAGACAGTTCAGTTAGCGTTGCCAACAGAGGTTTGATTTCCAGAAGTCTACTGATTGTACCTTGAGGGTTCTTGAGGTTAGCTTTGGGAGAGTCACTGTTGGTTCTGGAGAAGAGTTCATCAGCAGAGTCCGTAGCTGCTTCAGCGTCTCACGTCTACTTAGAACAGACCTTGGTTTTGGGTTACCCAGCTCAAGTTTAGAGCTGCTTGGAGGTTCTCTGTGAATCTTCAGGTTTGGCTCAGAGGGTTGGCTCGGCAGGTTAGCTCTTCCAGAGCTTTCACAGAGGAGGCACAGGTTTCCTGGAAAACAGACACAGGGGTTAGAATCCAAGCTGGATTCAAAAGTCATAGATTTACTCTGAGGATCTAGGCTTAAGCGCTGACCAACTGGAACAACACTGCGGCGTTGAGGCAAGGTCTGAAGACAGTTTAAGTAGTGGATCCTCTGATGATCTTGACGAGCTGCAGCTGTGCAGGAGGCTCCCTCAGAGGATCCACGGCGGACTCTGCTGGAGAAAGGTGGAATTTCTCCAGCTCCCAACAGTCAGGGCTACACAAAGTCATCAGACCGAGTATAGAAACATGTCTATCACTTAACTGCTGTTATGTGACAAACGTTAAGCTTTCGAATCTTTAATTAGGCCTATATTATAATTTAATTAGGCCTATATTAAATGCAACTGTGTGTATCTGCATGTGATGACCGTTTAATCCAGAGAAAAGCAGGTTTACGCTATCGCTCAGCGGGCTGCGGTGCGCGCTTCCGCGAGCGCAATCAGATTCTCGCAGACATTCACTTTTTTGCACGACACCGGGATTTATGGCGCAAATTGATCACAATAATTAAAATAGCCTGCGCTTTGTAAAGTGAAAAAAGTCGTAACATGCAAATTTGTAAAAACAAATTAACATGGCACGGAACCACCATGTTTGTTTCGTTTTAAAGTGGGAAACGTAAGTTTCTCAGGTAGCTCATCTGATGCTTTCCTTACCTTGTTAGTAGGTTACAGACAGTGATAAGGTTGGCTACTTATTTTACTATTAATTTCATTTGAATTAGCTTAAGCAACGTTTATATTTCCTTTATAAATAAATTAACTTGCAAATTATGAGGGCAAGACTTTTAAAGTTTAAATCTTCTGGCAAGGTTAAAGTAAAGAAGATCCTGCAATTTATGGAAGTAAAGCAGAATAAAATCCAGCAAGATCAGTAATATGTCAATTAATTATATGCCAGATTCCCATGTAAACATCTGTCTTTGGAGGATGTGTTTTTTAGCACCCCTAGTTCTCTCATTTTTATTCCAAATACAAATCTCTATGGTTAAGTATTTTCTCAAGTAGCAACTTTAACTGCTATACTTTCCTGTCTTAAAGCTGCAGTCTGTAACATTGAGAAGAGAGCAGACTTGGACTGAAAATTTGAAGAAAAACAGGTTTCACGTCACTCCCCCACCCTCTCTGCTTCACTCATGCCCCACCTCCAAGCATGCCCCACCTCCAAGCTCCACCCCTCTCACAGCATCTGCGCGGCTACCGCATGCGACCACAAGCGTCCAAGCAGCGTACGCGGCATGGAGTGTGAACCGGTAAGAGCGATAACTCACCTCCAAGCAGCTAGATATAAGATGCTGGTTATACCGAAATTTGCCGTGTAAGCAGTTGTCGGCAGGGGCAGTAAGGGCAGTTTCTCTTTCGCTGGTGGCTGTCGCTCCGCCATGACTTCCACTCGCGTCCTCCTGACTGCGGCAGCCGGGCGCTGCGGCAGGTTAAGCGGTGAGGGGGGGGGGAGCTGTGATTGACACTCCATCAGACGCTCCTCTGGCTGTGATTGGTTGTTTTGACTCGTCCCGAATTATTCTTTTCAGATTGAAATACAGGCAGTATGCGGGACCAATTGAAGCAGTTTTTTTCACAGGTTACATATCACATGTACTGCTGTCTGGGCATAGGGACAGTTTTAGCCAATATGACAAAAAAGTGATTTTTAAAAACTTACAGACTTCAGCTTTAAAAGGCAGAACTCTTCTAGTCTAAAAAAAAACGAATTTGTTGAAATGGGGGGACCTATTGTTTGAACCCCTTAGGGGCTTTTAAAAACAAAAATGTCTTTTTTTGCACTTTATGAAACAAAGTACCCTATATTTTGTGGATGTACAGCTACATTTCTCATGTAAGTTTGCATAGTTTTAACACATTTATTTTTCATATTGCACCAGTACAGTTAATGAGCAACCTGTACTTGTGTGCTTGTTTGTTCTGTCTAAAATGTTTATTTTGGAATAAAGCGGTTAATATAAAAAATATTTTTTGTCCGATTAATCGAAAAAATAATCGTCCGATTCATCGATTTTTAAAATAATCGTTAGTTGCAGCCCTAGCACAAACAATTAATTACTTAATTCATATGATTAAATCAAGAATTTTTGTTAGTTTTTTTCCCAAAGAATTGTAATAATAAAATCACTTTTTCCTTTTGAAAACGTGTCAGCCTCAGAAAACTCATGATATCACAGCTCTTTAATCGGAGCCTATGTTTAAAGCTAAGAAAGAGTAAAAATTGTTGTATATAAAAAAACAGAGTTCAATAGGAAAATTACACATAAATAAAAGCAAAATATCAAGTTTGTTTTCTTTACAGCATGAAAAAATAACAGCTAAGTAAAAGGTCACCCCTGTTGTAGAGATTAAGTGCTTAAGTAAGGTTTTTATGAAAATAATTATCCTTCTTATTTTGTAAGGAGTTAGCAAAAATATAATTACTTGAAAGCAAGTAGGACATTCAATTGCCAGTGTGTATAGGACCTTTACACCACCAAGAAGCAGGAAAAAGAAAAGTAAGAAAAGAAAGTGGAAAGACACCCAAACAAAAGAAAACACCAGAACAGCTATTAGGTGCAGAACAAATTTTAGAAAAAACAAGCTGTAAGACACATGCTGACTTAACCTTGGTTCCATCGGACTTGCAAATGACAGCTTGCTTATTCTGGGTTTGCTTTTTTCAGTTTTCAGTTTCACTTAATTAATAAAAAAACTGCATAGAAATATAGTCTTAGTTAGTAATTAAGTGTATGTTATTGGCTTTTTATTTAAATTGTAAAGATGTGAATGATCAGGAGATTATTTGATTAGCAAAATAGTTGCTAGTTCCTGCTCTTAGTGAGTTCATAAATATATTTCATTTTAAAGGAACTGACCTGAGAACTTCAATCGGCGAATATGCTTGAGCAGGTGGGTTCCGTTGATGGGATCCATTTTAGCGCAGAGACCCACCTTCCCAGGGCAGAGTTCTTTGTGCATGTTGTGTAAAGCATGAGCCATTGAATACACCGCATCAATAACAAACTGCACCTTTCCTTCTTGCTCGTAATGCGAGTCCTTTCCTATTCGCTCCTGATCTGAAAGACAAAATGACATTTACAAATTAAAGTCATGTATATTCTAATATTTGTTTAATTTATGTTGTATTATTATTGGATTAGGTTGGATCAACTTAATGACATATATATCTTTATGTGTTTTTTAAAGGACTTTTTATGACAACAAATAAGAAGAAATAGAGGTCATAGTCCTGAAATATCTGTGTTATTGTTTGGGCCATTCTAGAAGCCTATATCCCATTACACATATGGGAAATGTATTTTAGTCATACAGGAAGATACAATGACATTAAAGTTGCATGCAAAGCATTTAACACAGCATCATAAACAATGTAAGCAGATGAGCCTCCCACAGATTTTTGAAACTTGTCAAAACGTTCTTCAAAATTAATGACACACCTTTCATATGAAAACAAGCATGAGCTGCCAGGCCATAACACAAATTTTAGGTGGTAATTACAGAGATTACCCAATGATAGCCTCACCGTACCTAAATGCTTGCAACTTTATGACAACCTTCTTTCAGCACTGAGTTATCCCTTTCTTCAATATGAATGATGCTTAAAAGTTAACAATTACGGACTGACAACTTTCTCTATTTTCTAATTAATTTGGCTCACACTCACAGAGCACTCAAATTGAATTTCCATGGAGCAATTGAATCATGCAGCCCCTCCATTTCGGTATGCAGCGTAAACTTAATCTATCTGTATGATATATAAAGGCAGCCAGATTGAGGACTTTGGAACTTGGGTGATATGCTCAATTTTCTTATTTTTAGTAAACCTGCTTGCAGTAGATTCCTGCTCAGCTGAAGCTGTTTGATTGACTCAACAGTTAAAATTACATTAATTATTGATTTATGTTTGGAATCAAGTTTGTGTGGGTTGTGTTTTTGTGTGTTTTCCCTCCACCACCAGGGGGCGCCTGGTTCTCGTTGGCCTTCTCACACACCTGCGGATGGTTGCCTCATTACCAGAGGACTCTTAAGCTGCTGACTGCCACTACCTCGACGCCAGAGTGTTTTCCAGTTTTGGGTACTCAAACAAGCAGAGTTTTGCTCAAACTGTCAAACTGAGTTTTTTTGTCACCTGAGTCTTTACCATGTTTTTTTTTTTTTTTTCCTTTGCCTCTCGGCAGGAAGTCATCCTTCAAACTGGACTTTTTGGACACTCTCCCCCTGGAAGGATTGTCTGAGCGTCAAACTGAGCTGAGGATTCAAACAGGTGCTTTAGATCAACTTTTCCCCAAGGATTGTTTGGGCTTCACACTGAGCAGGGGATTCATCTCCACAGGAAACCGTTCAAGTACCATAGACAATCTAAGTGGCAGTCAGCTCCTCTGGTCCTCAAGGAAAAACCTCAACCTGGGTAAACCCTGTCCACCCTCTGAAGAGCAATTCTATTACTGGAACAACCCACACCAACTGGATTCAAAGAAAGACACATTTTCTGGAAACGTGAGTACTGTTGCCTTTATTCCCTTTTACAAATCGAAACACAAATTTCCCTCTGAGCCTGAACCAGGATCTTCCCCTTCACTTTTCAGTCCCAGTTCGCCAGTGTTCAGAACAGCACTGGATCCTTCTCTACCAGTTCATAATAAACCTGTTAAACCCTCCCCTGGTCTCTCTGTTTGGTTTTCTGCATATGGGTCAGATCTTTGGATAAAATCATGACAATTTAAAATTATGACTGTCAGTGTAGATTCTGAGTTGAGAGAAAAACTAAAATAATCTTTATATAAATATAGGTCAAAATAATATCATGCAATCTGTAAATGATTCAGGACCTAAACAATTACTATAGATGGATTCACAGAAAGAGTTTAGTCAATAAACTTTATTTGAGGCTACAAATTGTGCACAATATTAGCAAAAAATATCTATCTTAGGACTTGTTCACAGAGTAATGTAAATATATCATTGAAGTGTGCCCCACTTATTAAAACTTGGCTTTTAGCCTCGTAGAGCACCTTAAGTTGGGCTGATCTGTGCAAGCTATTTGGAATGGACCTCTTAAATGAATGATGTTGCTGTAGTCCAAAAGGCATAGAAGAAAATGCATTGCTCCTCTGTGAGTCTTATTCTTTCACCACTGAATGGGTCCTGCCTCTTGCAATTAGCTGGAAGGTAAACATTGGAATCACTGTAGAGGAGCAAATCAATTTCAATATCTTGAGGGGAAGTTTTTCTCTTCTGGGAAATCTCATCAGTTATATATATATATATATATATATATATATATATATATATATATATATATATATATATATATATATATATATATATATATATATATATAAAAAACTCTCTTGTATTTCCACTGAGTACAGATGCAATTCTCCCTAAGCTTTTGCATTGGATCTTTCGCTGGCATGCTTTTGCCTTTTTGTCATAAACATTGATATGACATCAGTAGCTTAAACAATCTTATGTTAACTCAAATTTGAGTGAATCCTGACCTTGCAGGTAAACAATTAAGCAAAGATCACAAGTATAAATTGATATATTTATATCTGGACAAAATTTAATCCCTCTATAGTCTCAATGTAATAACTGGTGATTGGAGTTAATATTTGTTTGGGCCGAGTTGTTGCATAGTTTTTGTAATTGTTAATTGCTCTAATAAGGTAAGGCCTGAGCAAAAGACCCAATATGTCAATCCAAACTCATCCTTTCTCTCCATAAGCCTCAAATCATAATGCATTCACATTGTAACTCTGCTGTATGTGGATAAGAGAGTATTTAAAAAAATAAATCAGGTGTGTTCAATTTAGATTAACAATAGACTAATTACTGCGGATAAGCTAATGATAAAGCTGAATACATATGTATTTACAAAACTGCAGAATAGAATTCAATTAGGATTTGCAAGTTAATAAGAGTCTGACAAGGTTTATGCTGCCAAACTCCCTTCAATTATGATTAACGTTAGGAAAAAAAACAGTATATTTAATGCTATGAAAATAACTTTGCTTGTGTATTTTTTACCAGAACTGTTTGGTGAAACCAAGAGTGCATAAAATTGTTGTCTATCTAAATGTGTTTAATTGGATATGATTTAGATTATCCCTGTAAACGATATACAATGATAAACCTTTAGCATTTTAGGCAGAAAATTATTTAAAAAATTTAAATTTAAAAATACATATACATAAATAAGAATATTCTTACATTTTAATACAGTTTTGAACTCAGAGACGTAGACCTTTTTGTACAGTTTCTGTCAGTTTCAGCTCATTATACAGTACAGTAGCACTGTAATAGCATTGGTGTAAGTCAGCGAATATATTCTCTTGACCTCAGATATTTGATTTATATGTGTATATGTACTTTTAGATCTCAGCGCTGCTTTTGATACAACCTATCATAATATTATTGTAGTATGTGTCAAATTTTCTCTGGGAATTAAGGGAACTCTAAGATGTAAAAAAAAATGCATATATATATATATATATATATATATATATATATATATATATATATATATATTATTTTTTATTTTTTTTACCAGAGTTATGGCGATGCTACTTTAGATTTGTCTATATACCCTGATGAAACTTCCCTATTGTCTAAACTACAGAAATGTCTTTAGGACATAAATATTTATGACTTAAATATGTCTGGTATTGAATTTAAGAAAGAGAAGAAGTTACTTTGGACTAGTCTTTTTAAAAAGAAGCTGATCATTCACTCACTTTGGGTGGAATTAAGTTGGTCTCCTATACTAACATAAAATCATTAGTGTTTTTTTTTTTTTTTTATCAGAAATTTGTATTTTATATCCCATGGACATTAGCCATTTTTTATTAAAAACCTTTATTGTTATATTAAAAAAGCTAAATTGCTACACCAGGCGTCAATAACATTAAAGAGTCTGGATGTTGTTGTAAATAGCAGCATTATGTAACAAAGCATTTTTGATACCGTTAGTTATGGATAATATTACAGATGCTTGCCAATGTTTTAAACAATTTTTGTCACTCACTGCAATCTAAAATAGGAAACCTCAACCTTAGGAGGTCCCTTTTTGTTATCTGTCTTTCATTCCTGCACCTCACTTCACACCAGGGGGCTTTAATGTCCCCTATTATCTCATGAGCTTCTGAAACGCTTGAATTATTGTTGGAGGTTACGGCTTGGTAATTAAGAGCCACAGGTCCCTGATTGGATAGAGATTGTCACAGTTTTGGCTGGCATGCTGATACCATGGGGAATCCTTTGAGCCATAGTGGGTGTGAGAGTGATATTTCCCTTGCAGGCTTGGCAAGCCACCCACACTTACTTTGTGTTGTGTATTCTCCATAAGCCTGCTTTCCTTTTCCCCACTGTCTCTCCCTTTAGCTTCCCTTCATCGGAATTCTGGCTCTCTCACACACATTTTCCCGGCTGGCATTTCAGAGAAACCCTTTTAGGTTACATAGAGCACAGGCAACGTGTGGGTGTTCCTCATGGAGAAGTCACACAAAACTTTATGTGACAGAGAGTGTGTGGGTAAAGACTTTTGACCTTTTTATTGTTCTTGTGATGCGCCAAAGGCAATTCAGTCTTTTCCTGCCAAGTCAGTTGGTGCCACTGTTATGTGTCCCAAATTTATCTTCTTTTTAATTTTTTTAATTTCTTCTAACTTCTATGTAGACTTATGTCATCTATATTACATCTGAAAACTATTATCTTTCTATGTAGATAGTAAAATCTTAATAACATAACTTAATGATAGTTTTTTTTTACTACAACAAAATGAAAATATAAAAAAAGCAACAAAAAAAGTCAAGGTTTTAATGACATACCCAATTATCAACAAAACCATCTTTGATTACTGTTAAAGTAAATAGTTTTTTTTTTTTTAAATCAACATTATAGGGTATTGGATTACACATGAGATAAAATATATAGTAAAAATTAAGGTTTTATTAGTGTTAAATGTTAAAACAGAGTTAAAAAGTGTCAAAGCTGAAATACTGCCAAGCATGTCCGAAGACTTTAACAAACATTCACAGCTTATAAAATATGGAGC